TTTTTTGGCACTATTTGAGCATGGGTATGGTATTGTACCGTTCCGTTTCAAAACGGAATGGTACAAATGGTTTTGGAGTTCATCCCGTACCGATACCGAACTGTTTAAATCAGAGCGGTCCGTGATAGGTTCCGGTACTATCACGGACCATCACGGACCGCGCTCACCCCTACTTGGAAGCATTAATTGAAAAAAAAAGAGAATATTTTGTTTCACTTTTAATGTGTAGAGAACGTATCAAAATTAAATAGGAGTTTCATGTTTTATTCTTTAAATAGGAATTCGTACTACGGTAATCTGACATTGTACATGTGCATTTTACGTAATTTACATTGTCATGATTGGTAATGTAAATGCATTTTAACTCTCATTTCGGGAATAAAAACATAGAAATCTTAGTTTTGGTATATTTTCAATGTTTTACTGCTATTTTAGTCTTTTNCCCATCGGGATAATCATATCACCAAAATTAATTTAGAAAACCACAAGAATCCCATGGGTCCGTTTGGTACACGAAATTGACGGAATTAGAATTGAATTGAGAGTTGAAATTTTATGGATTTGATTTGGATGGAATTGTATTCTCTAATTCTAATTCATTTTTTGGACTACCAATTCCTTTGAGGCACTGGGGTAATATTGTTGTATGATGGTGATTTTGATTATACCCCTACTTAGAATTGAATTGAGAGTTAATTCTATGGATTTGATTTGGATGGAATTGAATTCTCCAATTCTAATTCATTTTTAGGACTACCAATTCCAAATTCACATATTTTTGTGCTACGAAACAGTAAAATTAAAAATATTGTCTCCAATTCAAATTTCATAGTTTAAATTCCGTGTAATAAAAGAACCTAACTTTAATTTATTCAACCGAAGACGGGATAAAAAAAGAATGTTACCAGGTCCGGCGGGGCATCCCCCTCTTCCTCGTCCCCCTTTTGGGAAAACTTTTTGTGATTAAATTTAATACTCATAGTAGATTAATGAAATAAATATGAAATTTGTATGAGGAAGATGTATAACTGAAATAAATATATATGTATAGATATATAATTTTCAAATAAATCTTATACTGAAATAATATTTCAAATAAATCTTATACTGAAATAATATTTCAAATAATTTTCAAATAACTGAAATAGGAGTATAAAATTTTAATATTTCAAAACTACATTTCAAATAAATCTTATACTAATAATTTTCTTAAATGATCCTTTCTAATCGGAAGTTTTATCATATTGGTTCATTTTTAAAATAAATACCTATCAAATGTAGAAATATAATTTTAAAACTTACAGGATGAGAATATACTGTAATATATAAAAACATATATTGGAGATTTTGATTTTTAAGGGATTTAAGAAAAGTGTATTTTGATATACAAAAACATATATTGGAGATTTATATAAAAACAAGATGAGAATATACTGTCAATTATACTCCCTCCTTTCTTAAAAACATTGGAGATTTTGATTTTTAAGGGATTCAAGGAGAGTGTATTTTGTTGTTGAGTTTTCTAAAAATGTCTCTTAATGTGATGATTAAAAAGTAGGATTTGATGGTTAGATTAATAACGAATAGATGTGATCTGATATGTAGGTTAAAAATTAGTATGGATAAAAGTGACTGACTTTTTAACAGAAATTAACAAAGTTTTTTGGAATGAATGAAAAAAGAAAGGAAAAATGTTTTCAGGGATGGATGAAGTATTAAACATAAATACAAATACCCATACATAGGGGCACTAGAAGTATTAATCCTTAGTTACAGTCCAATTTGTGGCCGCATGCAAGACCCATTTCTTAAATTGTGATAACCTAAGGCTGTGTTCTCTTTGATCTAATATGATTTGAACTAAATTTTTTAAGGCTGATCCGATTTAAAAGGATTTGTCTGATCTGATATGATCTGAATTAATCTGATCCAATCTGAATGGATTTAATTAAAATTCAAATAATAATGATAGTTATGATTATACTGATTATTATATTAATAAAAATAATAATTAACTATTAATAACAATAATTTTAAATAATAATAATTATAATTGTAATTATTAATTTTTACTATCATTATAATCATAATTAGTTTAATAATTATATTTGTTATTATGATTATTATTTAAGTGTTATGATTATTCATCATGACTATCATTATTAATTATAATTTATAATACAAATCTATTCTTAAGTATCTTAAATAACTATTATTACTAGTATTAAAATGATAATTTTTATTATTAATAATTATAATTTTAATTATAAATTATTATTATTATTGTCATCATTTCTAGTTGAATGATTTTATTTATTATTATTATAATCAATTATTATTATTAAGTGTTATGTTTATAACAATAATAAAAATTTATTATTATTTAATTTTATAATTTTTAGTAATAATATTACAATAAAAATTATGATTTTAATTATTAATATTGTTATGATTATAATTATTATATTAATTAAATATATATATATATATGTATGTATGTATGTATGTATGTATATATATATACATATAATATTAATAATAATTATTAATAATAAGTGTTATGATTAACGATGAAATCTACCATTAATAATTAGAAATCTAACTAAAATAATAGTTATTCTTAAATTATATTATTATTAAATACTAATCATTATTATATTTACAACTAAATAATAATATGAATTTTTATTATCATTATTAGTTAAAAATAATTATTATAATTATTTTTTCAATTGTTTTAATTATTATTATTAATTTTCAATTATTATTATTATTAAATTTAATTATTATTATTATTATTATTAATTACTACTCGTATGACTTTTATTATTAAGTATGATGATAGTTATGAATATTATTATGCCTTTTTATTGTCATTGTTATTAAATAAAAATAATTAATAACATTATTATTATTTTAGTTATTATTTTTAATTAGTATTACTTTTATTATTAAATATGACGATAATAAATGATCATCATTATTATTATTTTCATTATTATTAATGAATAATGAGAATAATAATTATTGTTATTATTGTAATTATTATTATTTTTTAAAATTATTTATTTTTTAAATATTTTTTATCTGTTAGGATCTGATCTGATCTGGATGAATCTGGTCAGAATGAATCAGATCTAGTTTGAACCGATTTGAATGAATCTAGTCTGATTTGATGTGATCTAATTTGATAAGAATAAGCTATGTGTAGCCGCCGTCGTATCGGTGAAGGTATGCAAATGTAAACATTTTGTGCATACATGAAATTGTGTGCGCATTTGTATGTGTTCTCAACCTGTCTTGTTTGTTTTTGCAGTCATGTAGTTCAACATCGCGAATCCGACTACCCAGAAGAAGCTTGAGATTCATAATGAACAAAAACTGTATGCCCTAATTCATTTGGTTATATTCGTTTTCAACGTGAACAGAGGCTAATTCTACCTATTGATAGAAATATCAAAGGTATTAACTCTATATTTTGGAAGAAAAAGGAAGTATTATTGGTAAGGGTCTATTTGATGCACAGATTTGATTGAATTGGAATTGAATTAGGAGTAGAAATTTTGGGAAATTGATTTGGAAGTAGTTGAATTCTCCAATTCTAATTTGTTTTTGGCACTATCAATTCCAAATCCTCATATTTTTGTGATACCAAACAATAGAATTGAAATTGTTGTCATTAATTCTAATTTCATAATTAGAATTTCGTGTACCAAATCTAGCCGAAAAGAAAAGAGATAAAATTGCATTCATATAAGTATATAACTAAACAAGCCTACAATTTGATAGTCCAAACACTCATGTATCTAGCCCAAATTATCACCCTACCATTTGTAGTCCAAACACTCATGTATCTTAAGCCCAAATTACTTTTGATTCTGGAAATCCAGTTGGCCTGACTGTACATAAACTTGTACTTGAGTTAATAACTTGGGCCTACAAAATCCAATACACAGCCATTTAGTATTAGTCACTGATGGCATCTTATGTATTCCTTCATCTTCATCAAATTAATGCATCATAAATTTAAGGGTCTGAAAACAATGTTTGATTTTTGGCGTGACTATTCAAATACCTTATGAAATATTTGTACTAAATAGCACTAAAATTTAAATTATTTCTCTAAATAGCACTTAATAATGTCCTGAAGGAGAAATAATGTCCAGTGATAGCGAACGTTTATTTAAATAATGACTAAAAGTGCTATATTAGAAAAAAAATACATACAATGTTATTTAGAGAAAACTATTATGTTTTAGTAATAATTAAGTCAATTCCTCGTAACTTATCATACTATTCGAATAATAGAAATTTTCAATGTTTGATTTCTATGCAATTGCGTCCACAATTTGTTTTAACCTTTAACATTCAGTAACTTATATATTCCACCATCTTCCTTCTCCTTTGTCTTTACGTCCTAAAGAGAGATTATTTGTTTGATACCATGGTAATAATGTGAAGGGTAGGAGTGGTAAATATATTAATTTGTGTTTCTTTTTTTGCCCATATACAATGAGAAAGGAAGACATAAATGCTAAATAATACAAAGAGTACACTAGATTATATAGTAGGGAATATTTCATAAACTACTCAGACCAAATAAGGTAGTTCAATAATGCCCTTACTATAAATCATATTTTGTCTTGTTTTGTCCATTTACAACGAAGAAAATAGACAAAAATAATTAACAATTTTTTTCCCCTAGAATTTCACTTACATTTAATTTTTCTAAATTAAAAATAATAAATCATGATTTCTATAACTAATAAAATAATATTGTAACTAATAATATTAGTCATGATTTCTATAACTTATACTTGTAATATTGAATCATGATTAATTATATTAAAATTATACTATAACTAAATAGTACAATAATATTTAGTTATAGTATAGTTTTAATATGATTAAATTCATTTTAATATGTGATTTTAATATATCAAATTTTTATGTTACTTATTTATTTTATAATGTATAAATATAATTACAGAATATAAATTTGTTATGAAAGAATACAAAGAATGAACTTCCATAAACTACTAATAGCATATAAGGTAGTTCAATAATTCTCATAGCATATATAGAAGTTAATAACAAGGTAACAAAATTACAAAATATATACGTGAGTGAGGTTCAAGATAAGAGAGACCCAACGCATCTTAACCGCTCAACAAACGCTAATCAATCGGAGATCAGAGGATGCCTTATGATGATTCGATCGCCGGAGATGAAACTCCGGTGCACCGTGTTCTTGAGGTGAGTGATCCCGCCCGCGGGACGGAGCCGCGGGCGCCTCTCCCTTTCGTTCTCTCCTTCCAAAACCTCACGTACACCGTGAAAGCCCGCCGGAGAATGGGAATTCCGGCGGTTTTCCGGTGCCGGAGCGGGGTGAACTCCGGCGATGGAGCGGGGAAAACCCTTCTCAACGACATCTCCGGCGAGGCGCGCGACGGGGAGATCTTGGCCGTTCTCGGCGCGTCGGGGTCCGGGAAGTCGACGCTCATCGACGCCCTCGCGAACCGGATCGCCAAGGAGAGCTTGAGAGGAGCCGTGAAGCTCAACGGCGAGCCGTTGGACTCCGGGTTGATGAAAGTCATCTCCGCCTACGTCATGCAAGACGATCTGTTGTACCCCATTCTCACCGTCGAGGAGACGCTCGTGTTCGCCGCGGAGTTCCGGCTCCCCCGGGCCCACTCCGTGGCGAGGAAGCGCGAGCGGGTCGAGGCTTTGATCGACCAATTGGGGCTCCGGAGCGCCGCGAAGACGGTGATCGGAGACGAAGGCCACCGCGGTGTTTCCGGCGGGGAGCGGCGGCGGGTGTCCATCGGGATCGACATTATCCACGACCCCATCGTCCTATTTCTCGACGAGCCGACCTCGGGGCTCGACTCCACGAGCGCGTTGATGGTGGTGAAAGTGCTGCAGAGGATCGCTCGGAGTGGGAGCATTGTGGTCATGTCCATTCACCAGCCGAGTTACCGGATCATGGGGTTGTTAGACCGGGTTCTCTTCCTTTCCCGCGGCCGGACCGTTTACCTGGGTTCGCATTCCGACTTACCCCGGTTCTTCTCAGATTTCGGTCACCCGATCCCGGAGAACGAGAACCGGATCGAGTTCGCGCTTGACCTTATCCGCGAGTTGGAAGTCTCACCCGAAGGAACCATTTGTCTCGCAGAGTTCAACCGGACTTGGCAGAGTAACCGGACCGGATCTTCTCCGGTTCCTTTTTCTTCACTAAAGGAGTCGATCGGGTGGGCCATTTCACGTGGGAAATTGGTCTCTGGGGCCATGGCTACCCCCAATGAAGTCAATCAAAATTTCTTGGTCCCCACATTTGCGAACCCGTTCTGGGCCGAAACCGCGGTCCTATTGAACCGGTCATTCAAGAATTCGGGGAGAATTCCGGCCCTACTCGCAACCCGGTTAGGCGCAGTCGTGATCACCGGGTTCATCTTAGCCACAATTTTCTGGCGTCTCGACGACTCCCCGAAGAGCGTCCAGGAGCGCCTCGGCTTCTTCGCGTTCGCAATGTCGACCATGTTCTACACGTGCGCGGACGCCCTCCCGGTTTTCATCCAAGAAAGGTTCATATTCATGCGGGAGACGGCCCACAATGCCTACCGGAGATCGTCCTATTGCCTCTCCCACGCGCTCGCCTCCTTCCCCTCCCTCCTCCTCCTCTCCCTCGCCTTCTCCGCCCTGACCTTCTGGGCGGTCGGCCTGGGCGGCGGCCTCTCCGGGTTCCTATTCTACACGGCCATCATCCTCGCCTCGTTCTGGGCGGGGAACTCGTTCGTCACGTTCCTCTCCGGAGTCGTCCCCCACGTGATGCTCGGCTACACCATCGTCGTCACCATCCTGGCCTACTTCCTCCTCCTCAGCGGCTTCTTCATAAACCGGAACCGCATCCCGCCGTACTGGATATGGTTCCACTACATCTCCCTCATCAAGTACCCGTACGAGGCGGTGCTGAGGAACGAATTCGACGACCCGAGGAAGTGCTTCGTGCGGGGGATTCAGATGTTTGACGGGACGCCGCTCGCCGGAGTCTCGCCGGAGACGAAAGAGAGGTTGCTGGGTAGCATCAGCGGGACGCTGGGAATCCGGATCGCCGGGGAGACGTGCGTGACCACCGGAGCCGATGTGCTGGCGCAGCAGGGAGTGACGGATCTGGGGAAATGGAGCTGCTTGTGGATCACTGTTGCTTGGGGTTTCTTCTTTAGGGTTTTGTTTTATTTGAGTTTGTTGGTTGGAAGCAAGAACAAAAGAAGCTAGTGTTTGGTTGGGTCAAATGATGATGGGATATTTTCATTTGGGTTAAAAAATTGTTGAAGTTGTTGGACCCAATCCTTAAATCTATCAAAAAAAAAATTAAAGAATGTAGAAATTAATAAGGGAGAAAATATTCTGTATATTGAATTGGCTTGTGCTTACAAAGGTCTAACCCCCTTTATATAGGAAGAGAGTAAAGCATTTAAGTAACTTTTATTCCTACCATATTTCTATTCCTACTATAACAAGAACTAAGCAAACTAGGAAAGATATTAAACCGAATCCCAAAGGGATTCAGTTTCCCTCTTTGATCTGGCTTCCTTCTTCTGTCGCCAACACCCCCCCTCAAGCTGGAGCATGGGAGTTCAACATGCCTAGCTTGGACATCAAAAGATTGAACAAAGCAACAAAGCTTGAGGAAGCCGCTGCCATCGTTGTCCAAGTGTCATCTAGACACTTCAGTTTTTTTCTTCAACGGAGACGCTAAGCTTTTCGAATCCGCCGAATAATTAGTCGAGTAAAGGAACGCCATTCTTTTCGAACCTTCACCGTATTCGAACAAACAGGGGGAACGCCATTCTTTTCGAACACCCTGAACGCCGACTTTTTTT